CTTTGATCGTTTCTTTTTTGCCGTGATTTTTTTTTTTTTTAATCGTTTGAGTTTCTGTTCGTGTTCGTATACGTGTGTTATTGGTTACGGTGGAACGGAATTTAAAGAATTCGATTTGCGATAAATTAGGTGAGAAGCGCGTGGAGGATGATGAATCGCGCGTTCCTATTCACATCGTGACCATGGCGTCACAACTTCCCGTCGACTTTCTGGAACCCTCGCCTCAATCAAATCTCGTCATTGGCTTTGACTGCGAGGGTGTTGACTTATGTCGCAAAGGCACTCTCTGCATAATGCAGGTCGATACTCTCCTTCAACGTTTTAGGGGCTTTGGTAACTGCAATGAGAATGAATTTATATAATTATATGTTTTTCTGAAGTTGGATTGTTGTAAATGTTAATGCGAGAAAATCTTTTGGTATAACTAGTATATGTTAATGAGAATTTGGGTAATTATATATTATATGCTGAAGTTGGCATGTTATTTGCTAATTCGTGAAACTCTTGGTATAACAAGCATCTAAATAAATAAAGAATAAATGGAACTAACATATATGTAGATAGGAGTATAGGTAGTAGGAATACCCTATTAATGCTCTGTTGTGTTTGTGATTTAACTGTGTGTTGTGATTTTTGGTTGGTGATTGTGTTCTTTTAGGATTTATTTATTATTTATTTTAATGTTTTTGTTGTGAATGAGGTGTGGTGATTTACTTGTATTTTACATTGTTGGTAGAATTTGAACCGAGGTACGTGTTTCTGCAGCTTGCTTTTCCTGATGCTGTCTACTTAGTAGATGCTATTGAAGGGGGAGAGGAGCTTATCAAAGCCTGTAAACTTGCACTTGAATCCAATTACATTACAAAAGTGATTCATGATTGCAAACGGGACAGTGAGGTCTCTGATTTATTTGATTGATTGTTTTTTTATTCCTTATTCTTTCTCTTATCCCTCCTTTGTATATGTTGAAATTTGCGAATCTGCTTAATTTGTCTGGCCATATAAAGCACTTATAAACTTCTTTGTCTTGTTGTTTACCAGGCACTATTCTTTCAGTTTGGCATCAAGTTGAACAACGTGGTGGATACTCAGGTGAGCTTTCTTACTCACTAATTTTGTATCAAATTACTCATTTATTTAGTGTATGATTAAATCACTCTCCTTTTGTGTAGCATTAAATGTACCTTTTCTTTTATAAGAATATTAGTATTTAAGCAAATGTATTTATTCGATTACTGCAAATTAGCTTGTAAATTACTCCTTGATTTGTATTACTTATCTCCTTAATTAATTGTATCCATACTAAAAGTTAAAGATTTGTGTGCTTTGTTCAAGCATATATGTGCTGTTTCTCTACACATTTTTTCAACTTGGTATCAGCGCTCAAGAGCATGGTACCATCTCTGTGACCTAATTGTGGAATTATTATGCTGTTAGTGTTTCTGACCTGTAACTATCTCATTCCCTGTGCATAATCTCCAAAATCTGTACTTTTTTCTTCCTATCCGTGGTTGCATGCAACTTTCCAGCGAACATGTCTATGTTAGTTTTTTGTGCTGTGGTTTCCTAATCTTCACCACTGGTGTTTGAGGGTGCTCATCAGTTACGACCCACAAGCATAGCCTGGAAACTCCCATGTGTGACCCGTCTATCCTTTTTAGCCTCACGCCAGCATGCCAAACACCACATTTGCTAGCCATCATGGTTGGCCTGCTTGCCTCCTTTTTAGCCTATCCCCAGCCAGAATTTGCCACTTCTCAGCTTTCCCAAGTGTGTGAGAGCTCCTCTCTAGCCAATCTCTTCACTCACTACTCCAATTGATCATTCAACTCTGGCTCAGGTCCTTTCCTTCACCTTATCAATAGTGAAACATTGGGTTCTGATGGTGTTTCATTTTCTTGACCTACTAGCAATCCAAGTTCAACTGTATCAATGTCAAATCCAATGCCTTAATCTAAGCCTTAAGGGCAAACTCAATATTCGAGAACAAGTTATTAGACTCGAGAGTTTACCTCGACTCTCTCGACTCATGGGGGGTTTGTAGACTCAACTCATGGACTCCTAAGAGTTTATTTAATGAAAAAAATAAATACTAATTTAAAAAAAAAAAAACAGCATCATGATACTAATTTCACAATATTGAAATAAATAAGTTCATATAATAAACTAAAAAAATATAAGTACTTAAGAGTAATAATTAAATAACGAAAAAACACATGTTATCAAGTATTAATTTATAATCTTCAGGAGAGTATTGAAGGAATTATGTATTAAAGATGTAGTAAAGTTTGACGAGAGAATTACTACTTTAAGAAAAAAATAGAAATTAATAATTTGAAATCAAATTTCAATTTATATTTGAATTAAACATAGATTGATCTTTTGTTCAAATTTTTTTATTTTTCACTCTTTATGTTATAAGAAAAAGGATAATCGGTGGCAAGAGAATAACTTTTTTAAAAATGATCGTTTCTTTTGATAGCTTTATCATATGATAAAGCTGCTTACAAGAATGCCCTTGTGACTTGGCGGCAACTTTGATTCACACAAAGTCAGCTGAGAAGCTAAAAATGTAAATATTCAGTGTCCTGAGCAGAGCAGGGATTCAGCTCTAGGATATCACCATGAACAGGTGTTGCTGATGAAGAAATGGGCCTTCCATCCTTTTGTGCTGTATCCACAGTTGAAGACACTTCCCCCTGCAAATGATAATGCCTAGAAAATGTATTAAATTGAACTTTATGAAATGGAATTATAGTCTGCATTTATATTTATATAATGTAATTGTTAGTTAACATATGTAAAGAAGGGTTGTGCAAAAAGGCGTTTGGTGCCACCAAAGAGTTCCTGCTAAGTGAAACTTGTTCTGTACACCTTAACTAGGAAATGTTTGGGTCTTTAAAGCAACATAAGTGCTTTTCTCTGAAAATATTTACCCCTTATGAAAATAAAGCACAGAAAAATCTGCATGTTAGTGATATTATTTAGATACAATTTTTTATTTTGTTGCTTTTGGGTAGATAATTATAGAAAGTTTTGTTGGATAAATGCAATGGACTAGCTTGTTTGTTCATATTATCAACATCATTAATGAAGGCAAGAATAGAAGATAGAAGATGCTAGCATTATATTGAATGTTAAGGACAGATTGTTTTAATTCTTGGTTAGGGATTTATGATATTTGACCTGAATGCCAATCAACATTTATATTAGAGTGATATATGTTTTCTTAAACTTTGAGGGCTTTTCTGCATATGACCTAAACATTAACAGGTGATGTGTATTTTTCCCTATTAAAAAGGTGTCATTCTTAAAATTTTGGAATTCTTTGCTTGTCCCTCTCATATAAATGATCATTTGAAAGTAGATAATGTTAAAGATTGGAAAGAGGTGGAAATTATAATACAAATAAGTTTCTTTAGCAATTTTTGCACTTCTATTGCTGTGACAAAAACACTAACGATTCCATAGAACTCTTACACTTGCTTATTATATGTTCATTTGTCTTCATCCATGCCTTCTGTTGATTGGTTAATCATATTTCTTGTTTGGTTCAGATTGCTTATTCACTAATAGAGGAGCAAGAAGGACGAAAGAGAGTGCGTGATGACTACATTTCATTTGTTGGCCTCCTTGCAGATCCACGTTATTGTGGTAGTGTGGTACTATTTGTCGTGGTATCCATTGAAATGTTTTTTATGGTCGTGAATTTTTATAATGACCTCAATTAGACATAATGATTAAGAATTCCTAATAAGTTCATTTAAATCATTTGATTCATTTTGACTGTTTACATGTAGGCGTATCATATGATGAGAAGGAAGAAGTTCGTGACCTCCTTCGACAGGTTGGTTTTTAGTCTTGGTTGAAAAGAATAATCTACTTTACTGTCTTATTAAAAGTAAAAATCGTTGGCCCTGCATGCATGTTTGATTGATACCAAACAGTGCAAAGCATCTGATTGGAAAAAGTTTCTATATGAACTAAATAATAAAACACCATTAATCTTTGTCATAATTTTCATTTATGCATATCATATGAATTTAGTTATCCAGCTATAGATGTTTAGTAATTTTTTTTATAAATGTTTTGTCAGGACCCTGAATTTTGGACACACAGACCATTATCTGAACTAATGGTCCGTGCTGCTGCTGACGATGTTCGTTTTCTTCTCTACATTTATCAGCAAATGATGGAGAAATTAAATGAGAGGTCTTCATGGTATCTTGCAGTTCGTGGTGCCTTGTATTGCCGATGTTTCTGTGTGAACAATAACAATTTTGCTGATTGGCCATCTCTACCTCCAATTCCAGGTCTATACCAAATCTGAACGAGAATCTCATAAAAAACATATTTCCTTATTCATTATATTGCCAGTTGCCTTTAAATTATGCTATGTTTTCTGCCATTAGAGTTTTTAAATAAAGTTAAAGTCGAAAGATTCATGACATAATTTGGCGGATAAAAATTACCCAAAAAAAAGTGTGCATATGCAGCTACTAGGCAAGCTCATAAACAGAGAAATTTGACATGAACTAACTCCAACTTTTTGGTGGAAATCGGGGTACTTCCCTGTTTTAATGTTGTTACTCCTCGACAGGTTCATGCAGAATGAATTATTTACTAGTGAAACTTTGGTGCCCTTTGATTATTACTTCATTATTAGGTTTTTTGTATATCCATTATAATGATTTATTTTTGTTATTAATGCTACTTCGTTGTTTAAAAGAATGTGCTTCTATGTTGTAGATATCTTGAATGCTGATGGTAATGATCCCGAAGAGGAAATTCTTTCCGTTCTTGATGTTCCCGCAGGAAAGATGGGACGTGTTATTGGGAAAAGAGGGGCGACAATTTTGTCAATTAAGGGTTCTTGCAAGTAATAATTCGCCTTTCCTTCTCTTGGTTTAGTAAATACATGTCTATATTAGGGAATGCTCTAATTGGTTTAGTAAATACATGCCTGTACTAGGGAATGCTCTAATTGATTTAGTAAATACATGCCTGTATTAGGGAATGCTCTAATTGCCAACCATGGTCACTGTATGTTAATGTTACATTAGATATTGATTTCAAATAAATTAAAAAGTTCATGTGTCATTTGTTTTATACAAGTTTCTTTTTGTATATATTATCATTCAAAAATATAATACTGACTTTATTTTATTATCGCAAGAAATGTAAGTTAATTTCTAGGATATAAATTGCATTTTTTTAATAATAAAATAACAAGACATATGAAGGATAAATGTGAACGAAATAAACTTTGCTTTAGGAACATATTTTTAGTTAATAATTTGATGAATTGTTACATTGTTTGTACTCATTTTTGTAATGTATCCATTGGTTCAGTGCGGAAATTCATACCGGAGGTCCCAAGGGTCCACCTGATAAGGTTGGTATATCGTATCAGCTTTATGATGGATGTGATTCATGATAAGTATCATGTGGTTTGGTATTTAATTAATAAATATATCTGCATACTTTACGTACCATAGATTATGTATGTAATTGTTATTGCTGATCCCTTAATATGTTATTAAACCTTCCAAAATCATATTTTCCTTTTATGTAGGTTTTTATCATCGGACCTGTGAAGGAAGTGAGGAAAGCCGAGGCAATGATACGGGGTAGATTCTTGGATATGTAGTAAGGAGAGCTTTATGACTTACTTCTCTTCCAACTGAACTTTTGCAATAAATCTTTTTCTTATCCAATACTGCCTCCCATAGTTGGACTTAGGGGGCAGGGATGTGATGTTCCATTACTGGAGATTCCTTTTCCCATGCCTCTAGTGGAAGATAAGATAAAAAAAAATTAATCAGTAAAAAATGAAGAATGAATGTTCCATTATTATTATATTATGAAACAGTTTATTTAAATTAATTTTCTCATAGGAGAACGTTAATATGTAAATGAAAATCTAACTAAAATTTTATGCCAATAGTTATAAATGGTCATGCCTTAAACATTTTAACGTTACTCTATTCATTCTGTGTTTTTATTTATCTATTCTATTAATTGATATTGACGCCATTATTTTTATATTTACATTCATAAGTCTAAAGATCATTAAATATTTTTAAAAAGAAGCATATGAAAACCATTAAATTATCCAAATATGAAAAGATTTTTCCAAACAAAGCATTTTAAAAAATAAGAGATTTAAATTTCGAATATTTTAATTATAAAAAAAATCTTATTCAAATATAACCCTAAAGATAAAACATTAAATTAAAATTGTACATCAGACTAACTAAATAATGCGTTATGCTGGAGTAATAAATTTCAGATATTTAAAAGGGGTAAATAATACCTAAGTAATCAATATGGAATGATTTCATGGATGAAAATGCGAAATCGATAATCATAACACGGGCGACGCAAAATCTCAGTTTAAAAGAAAGATACGGTAAGAGCTTGTCAATGAATTCGATTTAGAAAAAGACATTTTCCTTTACATGAATCCAGTTTTGCAAGAGGGTAGAATACAAAAACTATGATTCCTTTTGAATTGCTTGAATACGAAAACTAAAATCAACGGTAATCCCATGATAAATTTCAACACAAAATCGTCATGCTTGATCTTCAAGTGTTATGCATAAGAAAGAAACAGAAAATAAAACGTAGGTTGGATATTTTACAACTCAAAGCAGTGCCATCATATATTTCAGCATTAAGTCCGCAGGATAGCGATCCTACATAGCAGCGTTTTAGACCCAACAGTAGCTTACGATTTAAAATAATATAATCACAAAATATTGAGAAATATATACCAACAAAACCATGCCAAAAAGCTTAACAAGCTTTGTAATGCCGACACACAAAGAATGAGTGAAAATGTGATGGGATGAGTCAGACTTTCACTTTTGGAACCCACCAAATTGATATTGTTGGGTGCCAAGGCTTGAGAATATGTCTTCTCCAGGTGATGGTTGTGAAGGAGTAAATCCAGACTTAAGTCCAAGACCAGATCCTGCACCCATAGCTCTTCCCATGTAAAATGAGGGTGGAGGGCCTTTCTCCTTCTCGTCGGATCCATCGCTCAAGCCACCCACAATCCCAACTTCAACCAGGGATACCTTTTTAGCTATAAAACAATAGCAAAAGCTTACTCAAACAAATGCTTGGGATACCTTTTAGCTATAAAACAATACCAGAAGCTTACTCAAACAAATCCTTTATCTACACATTGGTAGACACATATAATAACTGTCATAGCTATACTCAATCTTTTCTTTCACTTTTTCTACAATAGTTAAACAACTTTTTGAATTATGGATACAAGAATCCAAAAACCAAATTAAATTCGTAATTTTAGTATTCAAATAATCCTCTTTTAGATTCTTAGTTTTCAGTTTTTAAATCTTTTTTTTACCAAGTTTAATATTCATAAGAGTAGTAAATATTTATTTATTTATTTTGATGTAACAATAAAAATAAATTGCTATTTTTAACAAGAAGTTTTATTGGTTAGATAATAGATCACACTTTTTTTTATGAAATGGATTGAAAGTAGATCATCTAACCCATTGCAAAGAGATACAGAACACATTCTTTCTATACATTTACTGCATAAAAAGCACATTCAATCACATTACACAAGCAAAGTAAAGGGGAAATGGGTGAATATACTATTTTACTGAGACCATCCAACCTAATTAATGTACGTATCTTTTAGTAAAGGACTAACGAATTTTTAAGATATCATATTAATTGTCAGACGGACCATGCTGTGTGTCTTATAAATGCTTGAACATATTCTTAGAGAAAAAACGACCATAAAACAACATATCATTTATAATTTATAATATATAATAAGTAGATATAACAAATAAAAATCTAACTTTTCATAAACATAAGAAGCTAGTGGTCATGATAATTAACTTACGGGCAGTTATATTCAGATCAATAAGTCCGCGGCTCAGTGAATCTGCCCAGACACCAGACTTCACCTGGAACGTATCCTTTTTATCTTTAGAGTCTGCTAAAGACTTACCAGCGATATCATGTTTGACATCACTGACAACATTATCGGTAGGCTGTGAAGACAAAGAATCAGATTGAGAAGTAAAATCACCAAAAATATCAGCTCCATCAAAATTATTAAGTGGAACAGCAGCAAAGGGATCAAAAGTGCTGTTATTCATAGGACCAGAGTTCTCTGGCTTGTTGTCTGGCTGCACCGGTTCAGGAATGGAAAATAAGTCAACTGTTGGTGTAACTGTAGGAATGGCTGGTTGTGAAGAAAATAGATCCACCTCAGCCTATACACAATCAAAATTTTAGCACTGACAAAATAACAATTCATGAGTAATTCATGGTCACAATTTAAACTTTTTAGGACAATTATAATATCACACATTATTTTGGAAATGAAACTGGTAACAATTCAACGAAAACAATATAACCTTATGCCATTTTATCATATTTGAGCAATATTAGGTTAAGTCAAAATTATCATATTTGAGCAATATGCACTTTCAAGGGCATCAATGATCATGGAAGAGGTAGGTATTGCACTTAGGATGCTAGGTTCCATCAAACAAATGGGTGAAAAAATGTAACACTATACATATAGGTGATGAAATCTAACCTGTGGTTGAGAACTGGCTCCTTTGTCCACGTGAGGTGGTGCTGATACAAATGATGCATCTGCAAAAAGATCGACCTCCGTCAAATTAACAGTTGCTGGCTTCTCTACCGGTGCAGAGGTTGGAACATCCATGAAGTCTCCCATTAAATCTTCTTGTCCAAAGAGATCAACTTGGTTAGAGTTTCCCTCTGAGGCTTCTGTTGAAAAGAAAGAAAAGTTTCTATATCACTTAAAAGGAAAAATAATTCTACTGCTGAAAAGTGCATTCTGTATTTGTGGTAAATTCGATAAATGAAATGTATGCCTTTAAGTGTATTAGAATTAAAATTTTATAGAAATTTAATGACATATTAATACTTTGTTTACTTGTCACATAATTTTTTGTTATAATTTTCTTATTTGAATGATGATTATCCATTCCTATTCACCTTTCCATCATTTGCACAGGTATACTTGAGATTGGTTGTAGTTGGAGAAGAGGTTTTACAAGCATGACTTGAACATTAGCATTCTGAAGGGGTTACATGAGAATAACCATGTATCACTTTGGGCGCATGACCATGCTGGATGAAGTGGGTTGAAACACTTAAGTCCATTAGATTAACACTAATAACAACAGAATACACTATGAATACTTAGATTTCCCTTCAAAACTCAAATCTCTTCCTCTCAACTCTCTTATGACATAATAAGAACTCTCTTATGACATAATAAGAGTTCAGAACTCCGAGTTAAAGGATCAACATGCACAATGACAAAAATCTAATGGAGCTTTTTCTAAAATATCTTCTCTTCTCTTCAGTATATTCTCATTCCAATCCATGTGTAACTAAATGTTTATGTAAAGGAAGGACAAATTTCATTCCAGCTCTTGTATGTTTGGTTTCTTTCTATTTCAATTCAAGTTCCTTTCTTGGGTGATTTCCTCCAAATTGCTTCATTTAGATTGGTCACCCAGGAGTGGAACTTGGACTCAATTGGAAATTTGAAGTGAATCACTGTAATTGATGATTCTAGGAATAGGAGAATCGGAGATTGATCGTAAGAAGGGCTTACATCTTCATCTCTTGCTTCCAATTTGAGAGCTAGGAGGATGAAAATGAGTAAAGGTAAAGATTCATTTCACAGAGAATTACGGGGAAGAAAAACCGAGGTAGGCAGGCATATGAGGGTCGGTCTACAGGCCTTGGGTCAAAGCCTAAGAACACATGGGAAGTGAATTCAATGCCCGGAATAAGCAATTAAGAGATCTCAAAAATTCCCTTGCTTATTACTTGTTTGACTAGGAGCTCCTAAGGGATTAGGAATCTTTAATTGAACAAAGCAGCTAAATGTCAAGGAATTGAATTTAACCTAATTTGAACTTTGATTAAGAGATTTATACTTGAAATGAGAGTGGAACATATGAAGAGGAGTGAAAAGATTATAAACCCTAAAGTATGTTGACCATTTTCTAAAAAAATTGAGTAAATATTTCTGGATTTCTTTCCATATAGGGTTTACTGTAGATTCTGTGTTCATGTTAAAAAAGAAATTATTTCACGTCAATTTAGTTCAAATAATTTTCACATAATGAGTTTGGTTATTAAGAACCAATTCATGAGAGGACGATACTCTTCTAATCTTATACTAGTTGAGACATTTAGCGCTTTTGCCAAATGTTTTTTTATCACCACCCAATATATAGTCAAATGCTTAATTTGGTTTTTATTCTTTTTTGGCCAGTGGCTGGCCCGAGAGGGGGTGTAAAACTTACAGCAACCTTGTTCTTTGGTTGTTTCAGGAGCAAATGGCCTTAGTCTGTCATTATAAGAATAAATAAAGCAGGTCAAAATCAAAGGAAGAAAGGAAAAGGAATGCCAAAGACGAACATCACGTAATATGGAATGCTCAATGGAGTACTTACCTAAGTAGTTTGGCCCTTGAGAACTAACTTTGAAGGGAGGGTTCTCCTAGTGTTTGGGTGTCTATAATTGGTATCAAAGTTGGTTTCCAGCTCAGAATAGGCTATCTAGAAAAGCTGAATGAAATGTAGAGTGCAACATTGGGACATTAACTCTAGGGGACAGTGCTATGACAAGGGACTTGAGTGTTTCGGAACATTGACATCAAGTTATATAGGATGCTCAATAGAGTAATGACATGGCTTATTTGACCAACAACTAGCTTTTAAGGTTGAATTTTGAAGACTCGTATGTGCAAGTTGCATGTGCATCACACATATAACAGTAGAATGTGCACCACAGTACTCTATACTCAACTTGAATGAATACACCTCTTCAATGAATGGAATCAATATTATATAAAGTAAATCACACTCAAAGAAAGCCAAGAAAGGGGCTTTAACTTTAGTTAGTAATCAACTTGATGGTGAGAACCTAACTCTAGAGAGATTATTGATTATACCACCAATAAGTTAGACTTGGAAGGCTTGTACCTCAAAAGTACAAGTTGCACGTGTATCACAAATATAACAATAAAATGTGCACCATAATTTGTATCTCACTTGAAGGAAAAAATAATTATCTTTTATGAATAGATGAATATAATCAGCAACTGCAATATCGGAGACTGTCTTTTTGGAATACTTACTGGTAGAAGTTCCTCGTGGATCAAAATCATCCATGTCATCCTCCGTATTGTTTGCAGGTACACTTGAACTTTGAGAAGGAACTGAACCATAATTATTTGCGTTAGTTGATGACTTTGATACTCTAGATGACTTGTTCTGCTGATTTTTGCTGCAAGACAGACATTATGGAGTAAGGATAGGGCAATAAAATCATTGCAGTATGGAGATGTAAAATTTGGCTAAATAAAACCAAAGCCAGTCAAGTAACAGGTTAAAATTGAGATAAGCATATAACTATGCTAAGGTATAAGGGAGGACCATTGTACACAACCTTACCCTTGCATATGCAAAATGCTGTTTCCGGATTAAAACTCTTGACCAACTAGAATCAAGACACAACTTTACCAATATGCCAACACTAGCTCTCTTTATCATTTTCTATGTTAACATAAGGCCACTTTATTCTATTATAGCCACATTACTTCCAACATAAACAACGTCATCCATCTTTGAGTAAATTGTGGCAGTAGAAACTATATTTATGCACTAAGTTACTAAAATAATCATCAGTTGCTCTCAAAAAACACACCTAAGGATACAGAAATATAATCTGGTTATCATATGGAACAGTCATAAAAATACATATACAGTTATTTGCTGACCATAACAGCAGTTAGATGTGTCCTACCTAATAGAGCGTGCAGAACCCTTCTTGAAGGAGTTCTCTTGATTGTCACTTGCAATGGCATGGTTTGATTTCCCGTGATAATCTTCTTCATAGGATCCCTTGTCTCCAGAGTTATCGCCAAACCTGTCACCATCTCTAGATCCAAAACCTCCATACTTACCACTGCTCTGATAGCTGCCACCACTACTATAAGAGGCTGACCCACCAGACTTGTATGTAATTCCACTGGAAGAAACTCCAATGTATCTACATTGAGCACCCAACCCAAAAGAAAAACATGAAAATTATTTTCTGACTACACAATCTATAGTAGTAGCTTTATTGACCTCATAATTAGGGGATGATGAGATTGACAAATTTGACCTACTTGTCACGGTTTGCAGCAGCTTTATTTCTGACTTCATGTATCTTATCTCTATCATTCAAAAGGGACGCAATGTTTTCTGCCTTCTTCCTTACATTGAGTCCCACATCCTTCCCATTTGGCTCAACATATTCAAAACTAGAAAGTGCCTTTACCAATCCAAAGAAAATACGTTTTTATTCAGTGGTTAATTGCAAGCATAAATTAGCTAAATACAAGAGAATTTCCCTTACTGAGATCTGAAAAGTATGTTCTATAATGTCGTCAACTGCACGTTCAGATCCATGTGCTACCAAATACTCTATAACCGCTAACGCCTGACATAAAATTAATTCAAGTTATTGAAAGAAAAGTAAATTGTATGTATCAACACAGAAAATACCTCAAAAAAGCCTTTCTCTTTGAATGTTAAAATCTGAGGAAATGATATGGTTATTCAAAAACATTACCTTGTATACATATCGCCAATCTTTTCCAGTTTCACCCAGTCTTGTCCAAAGGACATTCATGACCATTTGACATTCGGTACTGAAAGTATAGTAGAAGCAATCAATTTAGTAGAACACGTATCCGAAATTTACTCTACATATGAAAAACAAATACAAATAAAACGTAACATAACCAGAAAAAAGAATAGATAAATAGATAGTAGTTGTTTACAATTTTTTGGTAGCCTGTGCAATCTCTGCCAGTGCAGTGCCATGAGGACCCCAAGGTTCATTATCGGTTGCATCGAGCACCTAATTTTGAAAAATGGTAAAACATTTAATAAGATAATACCAGTTGCCAAACCTAGTGGCTTTATAGTTTGTAAACATATAATATCTGGCAGTCATCCAACATCATTGCATCAACAAATTATTCAAACATTACGTGATAACAGGTAGAGAACGAAGCACTATGTCGAAATCAATTCCAAATCGCATTCCATTATAATCAATCATTAAGAAACGCAGAAATCCTAAATATTGTAATTCTCGTACTCTAACAACGGATGTTCAAATCCAAATAGAACGAATTGTAACATTTTCAATGAAATCTACACAAATAAAACAGAAATCACAACAATCAGAGTGTAACCTTCTGTTCGATTTCCGGAACCTTAAGCACCTTCAGATTCACCTCTCTCTTTCTGTTTTCGCATGAACAAACATCGTAATCATGAGAACAATGCGAATTAACATTTTTTAATAGAAGATCGAAATAGATTCTGATTTTTTGCTAAAATAGACAGAAGCGAAAATCGAAATGCAAAAAGATGAAGGAAGGATCGAGAGGCTCGCTCACATTTCCCGAACGGTTTGATCGAAGACCTTCATGAAATCCATGGTGGTGGATGGGCGAAACGAGACGCTGTGGATCCGATCTGATCTGAAGAGAAAGGTTGGAAAACGGTTAAATTAATTGCAGCGAATTCGATTTATGCAGTTTCCAGTAGCAACGATTTGAGATCTACTACATTCAGAATTTTTGTTAATTTGTTTTCGGAATTTTTTCCATAACCATGCTCCTTTTTACTGCTCAGAGTAAATATGTTTTTTTAATTCACGGGAAGGTAATAAGTTTTATTTTTGTATTTTAATTTTTTTTAACATCTATAATTTAAAATGTTTTGGTTTTATCAGTGTAAATATATATATATATATATATATATATATATATATATATATATATATATATATATATATATATTTGGTTTAGTACCAATAGATAAATCTTTTTATCTTTGTCATCTAAAATTGTTTAGCACCGTCACAATCATTGTAAATGGAATTAATCCATACATATAAAAGTGAAAAATGACTATTACTTATAGTTTTCTAATTTAATTTAATTTACAAACTACTTATATTTTAGCTTTAGAATATTACGGGTAAAATAGATTTGACTTTATGATCACTTCGAAAAATTTAAAATAAATAAGTTTAAATAAAAAATTAGGTTAAATTAAATTGATTAATTTTAGTTTGATCCATCGTTTGAATTAATTTATAGAATAATATTTATTTTTTAAATAAAAATAATATGATTTTAATATTATTATATATAATAATTAATGAATTATATATATATATATATAATTAACTAATTAGGAATGATTCCCTTAATTTTAATAAATTATTTTTTATTTTTTAACATTAGGAATTACCGATTATAATCCATTATTATTATTTTAAATTATTAGATTATTAAAAATTTGATGAAAGATAGATGAAAAGTAAGCTTCTAATATTCTTAATTTTGAAGTGGATTAATTTTTTTGATAATTTATATATCAAATTATTATATTTAAAATAAAAATTAATTTTATTATTATAACTTCAATTTTAAAAAATATTTTTGTTTAATTTTTTTATTAACTTTTTGGATAAATTATTTTCTCACACACACACACATATATATATATATATATATATAAATCTAATCAACCCTAAACTGGCTATTAATTCACTTTCCAACTTAAGGTTAAGCTATTAAAAAATTATGATTTGTTTTTAAAATATATAATTTTGTAATTTAAATATACATTTATGATTTTGGTAAGAATAATTATTAAATATAACTATTTTTATATCTATAAGGATTCTATTTTTTATATTTTTTTACCTTTTCATATTTATTTATTAATAATATTTTATGGTTTGTTTTAACAACTATGGAGTATAATATGAGTGTTTAATATCACATATGGTAAATGTCAGAATTTTGACTAAAAAATTAACATTTTTTAAGATGAAAATTAAAAAATGATAATTAATGTAAGGATCTAGTTAGACTTTTAAAAATACAAGTGATTTAATAAGATACATTTTAAAATTTTACTATTTAAGTTAAAAAGATTATAAATTTAAAAATTTAATTATTCAAACTTAATTTATATAAAATTATCATCTCTCTATAACTTTTTTTTTAAGTCTTCTCTTTGTACTTTCCCATGTCTTTCTTCTTTTTTTTGACCCAAACACATCTTAACGTTATCATTTCAAGCTAATTAGAAATTTTAATATAATAAGTTTCACTCTACCCTTTCTAAAGCATTTTACATGTTGGTTTTAAGTTGCTTGCATGTAGGATTTAGAAGTTTTGCATATGTATTTTGTCATGTAAAGATAAATCTTAACTGATCTAAAAATATTATGATATGTTCAATTCATTAATAGAGTTTTTTGTGAATAGGATTTGACTTTTAGTAAATTTAAGAGTTTTGAAAATTTTGGCATGGAGGCAATAATATAATTGAGCTAACAAAGGCTAATTTTCCATTTTTTAGCACCTTAGAGTAGATGATTTGGATTGTAAAGGTGACTAGGTCACATTATTTGGATTTACAAAAAATTTAATTGTGATTGTATGTGATGATTATGATTGAATGTGAAGATGAGTTGATTATAGAGTAATGATTTGTTTAAAGCCTTGTGTAGTATGTTAAACTAAAGTAGCTATAATAGCTTAAGTGTAACTTATTTTGGAAGAATATTGTATGGTAGATCTGTTAGCATGAGTTTTATTTGGTATATTATGTGGGTTTGTGATATTTGCATATTTCTCTCAACCAGTAACTCATCACTTAAGCGAGATATGCAACAAAGGCTATGACTCCTATCTAGAGTTTTTTCACTCAAGCAAGAATTTGGTTGTTTAAGCAACGAGACTCTTAGAGGAAATAGAATTATTACAACAATGAGCTCACTAAAGCAAAAGTTTGATCACTCAGGCAACAAAACTTTTAAAGGAGAGAGATTTGCTTCAGTCTAGTTTTTGCTTAAGTAATAACGTTTCACTTAAGTGAGAAACCCATATCACTTTAATGTTTGATTCCATTGTAATTTCTCTAGTGAAGTACTTGCTGCACAAGTGATAATAATCTCGCTCAAGTAAAATTACTCAATTTTTGGAAGGAATCTCACTCAAGTTAGAACTCCCTATTTTAAAAGTAAAATTTTAGGTTAATTATGTGATGATTATGATTCCTTTAAATTGACCCTAATTGTATAATCAATGTGATACATATATGTATGTATGTTAGCAGTGACTGGATCTTGACCATTGATCTTGGAAGGGCCAAATAATATATTATTAATAAATAATAAATAAATATAAAAGGAAGAAAGAAGATGAAAGAGTGAAAAGATAAAATTGTAGATATATACTTAAATATATTAAATTATCATTAAGTTTGAGGGGAACAAAATCATAAATTATATGAGAGTCACAAAACTGAGGACGGATTAAGAGGATAAAATTGTAAATATACAAGTAAATATATTAAATATTCATTATGTTTGGGGGCCAAAATCATAAATTACATGGGAGTTACAAAACTTTGGGAAGTCACGACCCCTCAGCTCCCAAGAAGATCCGCCACTGTATGTTAGAAAAGAAAATATAAAGTAACATAATGATGTGTGATAATATAAGAGGTACCAATGATGTACCATTAGATGACTTGGAGTGGTATATATATATATTTATATTTATACTCAAAATAAGTTCCATTGAAACATCCTACAAAGTTAATTTTCATTTAAAAGATGAGCACCTCTAATAACAATTATTAATTGGGGAGTATTTTCCCCATCATTGGTTCTTAATGCAAATATATTTACTAATCAACCACACAACAAAGAAATATAATTACAAATTTAAAATCAATGTTTTTAAAATCATATTGGTCACGAAACCAGGTAAAAATATGAGTTCAATGTTTAAAAGTTTAACTTGATTTCAATCGAGATCTAACTAGATTTAATAAAAGAATATTTGTATAATATAATAAATTTATTAGTTATAATAATTTAGTAACTAAAGAAAGAAAAATAATAAAGATTATTATTATAGTCACCATAAGTTCTAATATTGGTAACAAATATGAAATATAATATAGAGTGAAAGACAAATAGATGTTAAATTAAGAAGAAAAATATAATAAAATAATTATTATTTAAAGTTGACATGATTAATGTAAGATAAAGAAATAAAAAAATCTAAAAAATATTATATTTTTTATAAAAAAATTATATTTAAATTTTAATCTTTAACTTTCTTTACCAAAATCGATTTAACCCAGAAACCTAAATGATTTTCTTGATTTTATCGATTTTGTGCCGATGTTTCCAATTTTATACCGATTGAATTAAAATTTGATTATTTGAAAGTAATTTCGTTGGATCGGTTGAACCGAGGTCTAGTATATTAACATCTAATCTTTTTATACCTTTATCCAAATTAATCTCTAAACACACCAATTCTTAAATTATATAGTAAACATTGTTAAAGTATGATTTCAGTTATATAAAAATCAAATTTTCATCACATATAACATGTAACAAGAATCTATCATATAACATAATCATCAATAAATGACATTTAATACAATAAAATAAAATCACCCATCAAGACTTCTCACAACATAAATAATAATCAAATAATGACAAATAAATAAAGTTGCAATTAATGAAGTCCTACACAAACTTGATCAAGCACATTTCATACAAGCACATTCCTACACAAAAATCAATTTATTAAGCATATTTTAATGAAAATATTAACACATTTAAATCGTAATATTGCATCTAAGTTTCACACATCATGAATATATCAATCACATTGATCACATAATCAATAACATTATACAAGACTTTCATATAATTTCCTGATGTGCACTAATCATATGTAACACACACATAGTGATTGCTAAGATGCCAATTTAGGACATATTGGTCTCATGCTCATGTAGATAGCTTGATTGACAATATACATTCATGGATACAATGTGTGCATACAAGCCTCTTTGGTCAATAGTTTGGTTGGGAATGGAGTGTGAGACCATGTGATTTTCCACCCAGACTCAATTGTGAACATCAAAGATGAGCCATTCATCACACCCTCCTCATAATTTCTCAGGTCTCCATAATAACCTTATCTGTCTTTCATACCTCAATGTATCTCTTTAGCTATCCACATGTCCTTTAATGATGGTAGATGAAATTAACATTATATTCATATTATATCATGACAATTTCAATTAAATTCATATCATCACATGTAACAAATTCAACATGTTCACCATTCAATATATACAATTTCATAAAATTTCAAGTAATCATTTCAACAACAAAAATCAAACAATATAGAAATTATATTTCAGATATTTTCAAATTTTTTTAATTGTACAAAACAATCATAAAATAAATTGTCACAATTCAAAATAACATAATGTAGTTAAACTATTGAAGATTAGACTTTTTCGAACTCAACCAAACTGGTATAATTCAAAATATAAGTCTTATAACCTAAGATTTTCAATAAGTAATAACCCACTTTCTCA